CAATTGTAGGATTACTGTCGCCCTCCATAGCCTTCAATAACTTTTTCTCCCATTCCCAACAGTTTGATTGGTTTATTTCCAGTTTTATTCAAGTCTGTTTTTTTCTTTAACCTTCCTTTCACATGGTTTATTTTCTTTAAAAAGCCTTTTGAATCCAGTGCTTTACCAAATGTTACCTCGTACTTCCTGGTAACATTTCTAATAGCCTCATCCTTCCTAGCTTTTATTTTTGGTGTTTGGGATTTTTCCAAAATTACGGGGCATTGGCAATTTCATCTGCTATAAACTGCAGTTCGGTTGTAGCATTATCTTTTTCTGTACTTTCACTATCGCTGCTTGACGAATACATCTTCTCTGATCAAAGTATACTGCACTTATTAAATTAAATTAACTAAGATAAGAAAGAAATACCGTAAATAAACAAACCATCGAAAACAGGTTTTAATCTGCTGCGGCACGCACAATCTTTTACTTATTCTTGGAGGATATCCTTGCAAGTATAAGGTAATCATTATGAATACGAAGAAAAGGAAATGCTTATACTCCCACCTTTTTTTTAACTTAAAACATTATACTTCTACCTTATACTTACAAGGATATCCTTTAGTTTTATGAATACGGCCCATTGAACATGCGCCAGACGGATACTTCACTGATAAGAAATAATTGACCGCGGAGCCTGAGTGGATTAGAGTAAAGAACCGTAAGAAGAGACGAATGGATACATCACTTTCTCCCCCACAAATCAGTCCAAAGGTCCAAGAAAATTACCAACAAAAAACTAAAAATGTACACCAACTGGCTTCAATAATTGTAGATGGGGTTGAAACATTTAATAATCCCCATCAAATTATATCTAATAAAATGACACATTTTCAAATAAAAATTATTATTGACAAAAATATTGAGTTAAATGTTCCGGACGGAGATTGTTACCAAGCTTTCACGAAGGCATTAAGTGATGAAAATTATTCATAGTATTCCTTCGAAAATAAACAAAATCGACCTATTAACGTAATGGCTACCAAATTGCACCACTGCTGTGATCCTCAACAAATAACTAATGAACTGAAAAAAAGAGGTAGTAAAATAATTGAAGCAACGAGAAAATTTAAATATAAAACTAAACAGCCTCTGAATATATAGTATAAGAAATATCATGGGTTTAATAATTGACATTCAGCCTATTAGAAAAACTAAAATAGTTCCCCAATGTAAATCCTGTCAGGCATATGAGCATACATAAAAATATTGTTCAAAGGAACCAAGGTGCGTTAGATGTGCAATGAAATATTTAATAATGGAGTATGATATACCAAAATAATAGCTCCTCCAAAATGTGTCCATTGTGAAAAAGGCCACCCGGCTAATTACCGCGGATGCATTATTGCCAAAATATTTCAAATAATAAAAAAGAAGCAAATGAAGAAAACTTGCCTCCGCAACCACATCAGGATAACAGGCAAAATAATAATATTAAAAATGAGACATCAAATATTAACAGAAAAGAAACACAAAAACAATTCAAATAGATAATGAAAACAAAACATATAGCCAAGTAGCTGAAGGAAAAACCATATATTCAACAGCCAGTTCAACAAAACACAAAAAATATTGATGTAGCTTTAAAAAATTTTAGATAGACTGAACAAGATGAATGCGTATTTCAAATTTGGAACATCGTACACAAGAAGCGACCCCTAAAGCTAAAAATGGCCAATCATCTTATAATTTTCGAATGGAACGCAAATGGACTGCAAACAGTACCAGAATTAGAAAAAATTGATGTATGTCTGATTCCTGAGACACATTTCACAAAAGAGTCGTTAATGAAATTTAAATATAAAGTGTACCATACAACAATCCATCCAGATAATGCGACAAAAGGCGGTTGTCAGTTATAATTAAGGCGTCCATTTTATACTATCGAGAAATTGGTTACCAAACAGTAGAAATACAGGCAACATCTGTTAATATTAAAACAAAAACCTATGAAATTGTGATCACAGCTTTATATAGCCCACCAAGACAGGCTATAAAAAAGCAATAATACCTTGATTTTCTGGATAGCCATGGATACAGATTCTAAGTAGGAGGAGACTTTAATGCAAAATATAATCACTCGAAATCTAGACTGGCAACAACCAAAGGTAACGGCAAATGTCAAACAATATCATCTGGAAAGCCTACATACTGGCCCACTGATTCAAACAAAATTCCAGATCTCATTGATTTTTTATAATCAATAATACCGCCTCGAACTATCTGACTATAGAAGAATCATGGGCCATGAACTCAGATCATTCTCCCATACTTCCCACATTAAGTGATACTGCAATCAAAAAAGAAAATTTACCTAAGCTAGTAAACAAAGGCACAAACTGGAAAAGCTTCAAAATTAACCTAGAAGAACCAATTGATCTCTCGATTCCATTAAGAACTAAAAAACAATTAGACCAAGAAGTTAAACTTTTTGTCAAAAATATTCAACAAGGAGCGTAAGAAAACACTCCCGAGGTTAAACACAGAGTGCAAGGCAATAATTATTCAAAAGAGATCAGAAATCTTACATCAGATAAAAGGAAAATTAAATGAAAATGGCAATTGTCTAGAGCACCAGATAATAAAACAGCACGACAGCTAAAACGTGAAATACAGTGCATTAAAAACTAGTTGATTGGCGAATACTTAAGTGAACTAACTAACAATAAAAGTACCAATTATTCACTCTGGAAGGCTACCAAACAATTAAAAGGCCCTACTACACATAATCCACCAATCAGAAATAGAGAAGGTAGCTGGGCTTGTAACAATTTGTAAAAAGCAAACCGATTTGCGAAACATTTAGAGAGTACCTTCCAACCCAATAATGGTGGATGAATGGATAGATGGAACTAGCACAAAAAGACACAGTCGTTAAACCCGACTTTCCAAAAGAAGTTTATATGGAAATCTAAACAAATATAAATCTGAAAAGAGCCCCTAGATTTGACCTTATTACTATGGAAATTTTGAAAATGCTTCCACTGAAAGCTATTGTCAAAATTACCAATTTCATCAATGCGTCTGATAAGGCCTGTAAGAATCTTACCCTTTACAGACTCCATTATGCTATAATTCTGAAGCGGACTATATTCCATGTTTTTACCAGCTGCCAGCTTTAGGTTAACGATCGATGATAGAAAAAAACAAGCACACCTGCATTTAACACTGTTTATTTTATATGAAGAACACCACAATACATTTATTAATTATTTACACTATGTACACACACCGTAACGGCGTGCGCAACCATTTCCGCGCAGGCATATTACTAATAGATTTCCTTTGTCCAACAATTATTATTGATTTTAAATTCATGAATCTGTATTGGATAACAACCGCGCTAGTTGTTTTTACTTTATTGACTTTGCCAACCTTGCTATGAATAGATACTTAAGTAAATATTACAAGGGCGGTCTATTCCTTTCTATGATTTTAATATTTGTGTTAAGTGTATTCTTAATAGCGTCCTTTAGAATAAAGTACATACCAAAGATGTGGAAAGTGGCAGAAGTTATAATGATACCCAAGCCAAGTAAACTTCCCTATCGTACAGACCAATCTCCTTGTTATCTGTTATCTCAAAACTCTATGAAAAATTACTTTTTAAGGGGTGAAACTTATGATAGAAGAAAAGAACCCAATACTCTCCCACCAGTTTGACTTCAGAAAAAACCCTCGACCTCGACCAAGTTCATAGAATCACAGATATCATTGAAAAGTCCCTAGAAAAAAAAAAGTTTGCTCCATCGTCTTTTTGTATGTGGCTCAGGCTTTCGACAATGTGTGGCATAAAATTTTAATGATTTAAAAACTGCCCCGACAATATTCTGAGCTATTAAAATCCTATTTATCTGAAAGGTATTGCAGAATTAAACAGAAAGAAGCCTATTCCGACCTGAGAGAAAAATTAAGGCAGGAGTACCTCAAGACAGTGTACTAGGTCCAAAACTCTACTTATTTTATACCAATGATATTCCTAATCTTGAGCCCAATACTATCAGAACATTTGCTGATAATACCGAAATTCTTGCTGTTGGAAAAAATTACGAAGACGCTAATAGAAAATTGCAAAAATTTATAGTTGGGCAAAAAGATGGCGAATAACATTGAATGAAGGCAAATCTGTCCATATCAACTTCAGCAATAAATAAAATGAATATATTCTTATTAGAATAAACGACGTACAGGTCCCTTTTGCCAATACAGTAAAATATCTGAGTATGACACTTGATGCTAGACTTCGCTGGAAAGTACATATTAAAAAGACTCGCGAATAGTATGGTATAAAATACAAAAAAATGTAATGGTTGCAAGGAAAAAAATCCAAATTACCCACATACAACAAACTGGTTCTTTACAGACACATATATTAAAAGCCGTATGGATGTATGGTATCCAGCTTTGAGGCTGTGATAGTCAAAGTAACATCTAAGTTATTTAACGTTCCCAGAATAAAGTATTAAGGAACAACTCTAGATAAGTTAGATTAGAATAAAATTGCTAATTAATCTTAATGATCAGATTGTAGTAATCGTGAATGATTCTTTACTTGGGGCAACTACTAATAAAAATATACAAATAAATTGAACTAAACATATCGAAAAATATTGTCAGGCGTAAAAAAGTACATAATTATATGGAATCCTTGGCATATTACTAGTACTGACAACATACTGCATTTTATCAGCCTTAATAGAAAATGTTTATGTAAGATATCTTCGCGGTTTTTTTATAAATACCCTGTACGATTTAAACATTTTATTGTTTCTGTAATGTATCAGAAAATTCAAGTTCATATCACAAGTACGCTCTATTTTGAATCACCCTCTAAGCACCCGATGCTCTTTTTATAGAAAATAACAACCAACGTGATGCTCCAGTGCACTTTATACATTATCTTCAACAGCCCAGTCACTAGCATACATTGAAATGCGCGGTTCGAGACTAGAACTGACCTGTAGTCCATTATAAGTCCAAGAGCCGAACTTCATCAGACAACTCTGTTCATCAAAGGGAAAATACTGCACGTTGATTTCGCAGGAAGATTTATAGATCGAAGGCGGCTTCCAAACCACTTCGCCTGTATAGGACAGGGTGGCTTTTGTCATTAGGGTCACTTCGTAGTTACCGTCAGCGCTAGAACAAAACGATGTGATAAATAAAAGTTCAAATAGTTGAATTTATAAAACACTCGATTAAAATACATAAAGACGTTTTTATTTATTTATGTGCTTATTGATATAATGTCCAACATGGAAAGTGATAATCCCAGTTACAGGATAAGGTGAGAAAAACTATAAATTTGAAATATAACAGTTAAAAATCTAATGTGTCCAACACATGACTTTCCTATCTAGTTATTATAGGCTTTTTCCGGTTATTTTGTACAACCTATTGCAGCACCTCTATAAATAAACTAAATATATACATTTTCCACATACATCTACCTAGAAACATTTTGCTATAGATATTCATTGAAAACGAAAATACTGTAAAATTTAAATTTAGCACTTTTCCTACAATTTTTCCATTACGGTCCATTTTAGAAAAATCATGTAAAAACAAAAATTATAGAGATCGATATCGCAAACAACTTTTAGTTTAACAATTTTCATAAAAATCAGAATTTTGCACATTTTGTCAAATTTCTCGAATACGGACCATTTCAGGAAATTTTAACATAAGCAAAAATTATAGATAATAATATTAGAAGTACATAACTTTGATTTGAACAATTTTTTTCTTCATAATAAATAACAGATATATTCCATAAAATATAAAAACGGCCTCCCATAAAGTACCCCTCCCCGCAGATGTTCTGACTTTGTCCAAAATCTAATCATTTCACGTCAGGCCGAAATAAAACTTAAGTTTAAAATTTATTGTTTTCTTCTTTATCCGTTTTTGAGTTTTCTTCAAATTTCGAAATTTACACATTTTCTCAAGTATCTCGAATACGGTCCATTTTAGAGAAATTATGTATAAAATAAAAATTATAGAGAATTTTATTACAAACAACTTTTATTTAAACAATTTTTATAAAAAAATAGTTTTTTACATTTTGTCAAATTTCTCGAATACGGACCATTTTAGAAAAATTTTGTAAAATACAAAAATTATAGATAATAATATAGGAAGTAACTTTTATTTGAGAAATTTTCTCCCCAAAACGTAAATAACAGATATATTTCATAAAATATAAAAATGACCACCTATAAAGTACCCCCCCAGACGTTCCGACTCTGTCCAAAATCTAATCAGTTCATTGGACGCTAGAAAAAAAGGTTAAGTTTAAAATTTGGTGTTATTCTGTGTATCGGTTCATGAGTTATGGTGGACACAGACACACACCACACACGCACGCACGCACGCACGCACCGTCACACACACACACACACACACACACACACACACACACACACACACACACACACACACACACACACACAAACACACACACACACACACACACACACACACACGTAAAAAAGTTTTAGTCGTCTAAAATATTTTATGATTTATTACTAATGTTTTCTCCCAAGTCACAGAGTAGGATGCTTTGATTTCATATGTTTCCTTAAATTTGAATTTGTAGTTTTAAAAGAAAACTTTTTTGATAAATGTCATATTAATAATAAGGATACAAAGTTCAAAATTCCACTAAACTTTATACACTTTAATTTTAATTGTTGAGACATTTTCAAAAATGTATTTATTTATTAATACCTAGGTAAACGAATATGATAGCGAAAAATACCCTAAAAATCGAAAAATCGAAAAATCGAAAAATCGAAAAATCGAAAAATCGAAAAATCGAAAAATCGAAAAATCGAAAAATCGAAAAATCGAAAAATCGAAAAATCGAAAAATCGAAAAATCGAAAAATCGAAAAATCGAAAAATCGAAAAATCGAAAAATCGAAAAATCGAAAAATCGAAAAATCGAAAAATCGAAAAATCGAAAAATCGAAAAATCGAAAAATCGAAAAATCGAAAAATCGAAAAATCGAAAAATCGAAAAATCGAAAAATCGAAAAATCGAAAAATCGAAAAATCGAAAAATCGAAAAATCGAAAAATCGAAAAATCGAAAAATCGAAAAATCGAAAAATCGAAAAATCGAAAAATCGAAAAATCGAAAAATCGAAAAATCGAAAAATCGAAAAATCGAAAAATCGAAAAATCGAAAAATCGAAAAATCGAAAAATCGAAAAATCAAAAAATCGAAAAATCGAAAAATCGAAAAATCGAAAAATCGAAAAATCGAAAAATCGAAAAATCGAAAAATCGAAAAATCGAAAAATCGAAAAATCGAAAAATCGAAAAATCAAAAAATCGAAAAATCAAAAAATCAAAAAATCGAAAAATCGAAAAATCGAAAAATCGAAAAATCGAAAAATCGAAAAATCGAAAAATCGAAAAATCGAAAAATCGAAAAATCGAAAAATCGAAAAATCGAAAAATCGAAAAATCGAAAAATCGAAAAATCGAAAAATCGAAAAATCGAAAAATCGAAAAATCGAAAAATCGAAAAATCGAAAAATCGAAAAATCGAAAAATCGAAAAATCGAAAAATCGAAAAATCGAAAAATCGAAAAATCGAAAAATCGAAAAATCGAAAAATCGAAAAATCGAAAAATCGAAAAATCGAAAAATCGAAAAATCGAAAAATCGAAAAATCGAAAAATCGAAAAATTGAAAAATCGAAAAATCGAAAAATCGAAAAATCACACTTATTATTTATCATCCAATAAGCAAAATTCATTCGTAAAGGATAAACTCTAGGCAATAAATTCTGTACCGGTGTAAAACGGTAAGGTCGTAAATGTTCTTTTTTCAGTATTCGAAAAATTGAGGACTGGCTTACTCCAGTAATTGCTGCTAAACCCCGAGTACTTTGTTCAGGATTATCAGCAACTCCCACTAAAATATCATCCTCCTGATCCATAGTTAATATTTTCGGTCGTCCCATACCACTGTTACACCTAAATTGTCCAGTTTCTTCTAATCGACTAAAAATATTACTGAAAATCTTGCGATTGGAATGAACTCTGGATAGATTTCTTGATATCTTCGAGCAGCAGCAAGAGAGGAATAATTTTCGTTTACATAAACATATGTCTCGAATTTCAAGATCAATAAAATTGTTGTGCCGCGACATTTTCATTTAATCGATTTTTAAATTTTACAACAATCACAATCTTAAGTGTCAGTAACAACTGACAGCAATGACAGCATCCTACTAGATCGAAACAATTAAGTCAGACCAGAGCCACCTACACAAAACCTAAGCTTACTTTGAATATGTCGTACTATGAAAGCATTTATAGCTATAAAGAAATATTTACGTAAGAAGTATTGGAGAATCGAAAAATTGTGATAAAATTTCAATTCTGCCAGTAGCGTAGAATTTGGGAAGGATTAACCAGTCACTTTGCTGGCTCACGAGCTAGGAGGTGCCTATCATCTCAGGAGGATGCACAATGGGCCTAATGAGGCCTAAGTGCCGTGGGGGTAATCCACCCTCCACATGTTACAGATACAGTCACTTGCCCCTGTCGTACGCCTCTGATGGTAGCCAGAAACGTTTATTTAACATAATTTAGAAGGATGTATAGTATCTACACTTCCCGCCAAATATGACAATAATACGTCAAATAGTTTTAAAGTACTGGAATTTCTAAATTTTTAAGCAAAACTGTAACTCAGAATGGAGAAACATTTTATCTAGATGATTTGGGTTAAATCTTCATAATTTGAGCTCAGGATTCTATAGTTGAAATATTTTCAATTAGTAATGAATCACCCTGTATATAGAATAGGTATTAGTCCTAATAGTATTTTGAAAGAAAATCTCATTAAATTAAACGGTAGAAAAAAAGGTTCTTCAGATCTCATAAAAAATTGTATTTTTTTTATATACTGCAACCAGTTTCAAAGTATATCACTTCATTTTCTGGCACGCCTAGTGGGTAAGAGAAAAGAAATTATTGTTAGCAAGATGATACAATGGAGCAATAATAATTTAACTTAAAAGATATTAACAATACTAATCTACTAGTATTATTAATATTTATTTATTCATTCATACTAAAAAATTAATCAAATTAATGTACTAAACTAAATGAAAAAATTAAAAAAAAAAATGTAACGAATATTGAAATAGTAGTTTCTGCAACAAGAGTGAATGTGAACAATCCACTCAAGTTGTACCGTATATTTTTTCTACGACCCACTAACGAAAATCTACAAATATTAAAAATTATTTTAGGCTATTAAGATATAATTAATTTAAAAATAATTTATGACTTTTACTAATTTATAAAATAAAAAAAAAAACAAGAAAAAAAAGTATTCCGTATGGAAGGCAAGAACGCTGACCACAGGACCATCTACACGTTCATTTTTTTTTTTTGCTTTAATACTCTTAATTAAATTGAATTCATATAGTTTTATTTAAATTAACAAATTATTTATAATTATAGACCAAATAAAAATAGAAATTTTATTATTCATCGATTCTACACAAGAATAACTCATTTAAATATATGTTTAATTTCAATAACTTAAAAATATACTGACAATTAGTTTGACAGAATTGTCACTTATATAAAATTTTAAAAATAATAGCAGTCGGTTGATCAAAATATGAACTGTTATTAGTGCATTTAATTTTTTGCAGTATATCTCACTACCTAGAATGGATATAAAATATATTCGTTCAGTTTAAGGCAATAGGATACTTTTTTGTTTTGTAATCTGTGCGTAGATAAGCTAATATCCATGTGGGTGTAGAAAAAAATGTTAGAAGAATAATCACTGTAAAAAATGATAAACTAGAAATAAATAATTAAAGAATGATATAGAAAAAACAAACTCACCATAATCTCTTATCCACTAGGGAATAAACTACAAATTACAATATTAATAAAGGAAGCGAAATAACTGGATAATTTTTAAAAAACATTGGTACTAGTCAAGAGTCCTATGATAAAAAACTTTTATTCCTAAAAAAATATGAGCCCACATTACTCAAATGAGCTTAATAAAATTTGATGCATTTTTTTTTATTTTTAAGAAGCAATATGGATTCTGAAACCAAACAACGGACGGTTTAAATGATTTAAATTTGAAAAAA